GCAGACATAAGAGTAGGAGGACATGAAACAACATGAAACCAGTAGCTATGGGCTATAGACACTCCGAAGGGTTGGGGCTGCTCAAGAAGAAGACCCCCTAGCCTAAACCCTAAACCTTAAACCCTAAACCCTTATCCCTAAACCCTTATCCCTAAACCCTAAACCCTAAACAAGGGTTTAAACCCTCAACCCAGACCAGGATGCAGGGGAGTGGGTGGGCGTATGTGGGCATGACAGGATCAACTTTCTCAGGCCAAGTCCGCTGCCCTGGATGCCCTCTGTCTGATATGCTGCCGTGATAGTGTGTACTGTAGTGGGGATAGTTGCGGCTGGTGCGCCATTTTTCTTTGGGCTGCTGTTGCTGTGATTGAGTTGTGTGTTGTCTTACATGTCACTCACTATTTCATGTACTGTACTCATCTATTTCACAGGTTTTTTGTTAGACGGAACGGGTGTTGCCTGGTTTTTGGGGGCGTCTCAGGGTGTATTCAGAGGCGGGCTCGCGTCTCGGATAGCTTTGCGACAGGAGGAGGAGGAGGAAGGGGAGGCTTTCGAGGATGTTTTGAGGTTTATGGTTGAAGCGTCTACAAAGCCAAAAGACCCGAGTCCTGATGCCCTGAAGACCCCATCCCCTAAACCCCCGAGACCTCCTAAAGCCTCTAAAAGCCCCCCTAAAGCCCACCAAAGCCTTTCTAAAGCCTCCTAAACCCCCTAACACCTGAATCCCTACTTCGACGCAACCGCCCGCAAGCCTCTGATATGACCTGCACTCTACGTACCATCGTTGGGTTTTGGGCTTTTGGGGTTCAGGGACCCCATATCCCCCTACATATTCGCTGAAGAACCCCCAAAAAAAACAAAACGGCAAAAAGCCTTCTTCCTTCTGAGCGAATTACAGGGATCATTGTCTTTTGTTCTATTTTTTGTTGTTTTCTGGCGAGGGGGAGTTGGGGGGGTCCTAGGCAAATAGCCGTATCTATCCCTTCACTTGAGCGACCTAGGTAGGTTCTTCAAAAGCGCCACAGTGTCTTTGAACCCTAAAACTGTTAAAACTCACCGAGGTGCCACTCTGCTTCCGACCCCACCTGCAATCTGAAACCCTGCACAAAAATAGTGCCGTAGGCCATAGCCCTTTGGATGTTCCCCCTTACTAACAGTCCCTATTCTCATCCCTATCTAGGATTGTTTGTTTCAGGGGGAACATCCCAAGTGCAGTAGGTCACAGCCCTCTCGGATGAAGCCACTAGCGTTTAGGGTTTAGGGTTTGCGTTTTCGGGTTTTGTGGTTAGGGTTTAGGGTTTAGGGTTTAGGGTTTAATTTAGGGTTTATGGTTTTGGGGTTTTGGGGTTTTGTGGTTCAGGTTTAGGGTTTCAAAGCAAAGAAAGCAGACCCCGGAGTCGCTTGGAATAGACAGCGTGCGGCACCTCCCCCATCCCCCCCCCAAAAGAAAAAAAAACAAAAAGCAAAAAAGCAAAAACAAAAGAACAAATATATAACTTTTGTAACAGAAAAGCAAAAACTGAAAGCTGTACAAACCCGAAACCCTGTTGTTTGGCTAGTTGGTGACGGGCACTTCATTCACCGCAAGAGGTGGCCCAGATCCTACAGGGATGGAAACGGATCCTGTGGTGGGGGGGGGGGGGGGGGGGGGAAAGGGGCTAGGGTTAGGGTTTAGGAGGGGCTTTTCTGCGGAGACCGTTTTCCAAAATGGCTGGAAGCGGCCGGTGTTACCGTCATCGCTTGGAGCCTGAAGACTCCCTGGCCCTAGCGTGTCTATGAGCGCATGCAGGGTGCTGGACACAGTGTTGTGGTGGCTTTGGAAGCGATGGGCAGTGCACGCAGTGTTGTGGTGGCTTTGGAAGCGATGGGCAGTGCTTCTAAAAACGCGGAATAACCACTCAAAAGCCTAAGCAGTAAAAACCCTACAACCGAGTCTCAAAATGGCCAATAGGCTGGGACAATACCTGCAGCCTGCGATAGCCTGATCTTCCGGAGCAGGGAGGGGTTCGGGTTTATAGGGTCTGGGGGTTAGGCTGAAGGATGCCCTAAACCGTAAGCCCTAGAACCTAAAGCAGAAATGCAAGCCCTAACCCTAGATCCTAGACCCTAGACCATAGACCCTAGACCCTAGACCCTAGACCCTAGACCCTAGACCCTAAACCCTAAACCCTACACCCTACACCCTAAACCCTAAACCCTAAACCTAAGCCCTAAACAGCTGAATTGAGCCTCCCTTTCGCCCAAGGCCTCCCAGGTCCTTGAAGCTCTCCGCTCGCAAGCCGGCAGTGTCTGCTGCCTCAGAGCAGTTGGGATGCTGGGGTTTAGGGTTTAGGGTTTTAGGGTTTAGGGTTTTAGGGTTTCAGGGTTTCAGGGTTTCAGGGTTTAGGGTTTTAGGTTTTTAGGGTATTATAGGGTTTTATAGGGTTTTAGGGTTTTAGGGTTTTAGGGTTTTAGGGTTTTAGGGTTTTAGGGTTTCAGGGTTTCAGGGTTTAGGTTTTAGGGTTTTAGGGTTTAGGGTTTCAGGGTTTTAGGGTTTTAGGGTTTGAGAGTTTTAGGGTTTTAGGGTTTAAGGGTTTAAGGGTTTAGGGTTGGGGTTTAGGATGTAGGGTGTTAGGGCTTTGGGGTTTTAGGGTTTTAGGGTTGGGGTTCAGGATGTAGGGTGTAGAGATTGGTCTAACACAGTTCGACCTTTAAGTTCTGATAAATGTTGAAGCATTGTAATGAATATTTGATCATCAGGTTGAGGGGAAGTTTGGTGTTGAGGAGTTTGGTTCTATTCTAGGGGTCGTATATGGGTCATATTGGGCACCTCAACCCATCATCCCCAAAAGACGTATGAGGTTTCGGACTCCCAAGGGCTTATATAGGGCTTTGCGGATGTAGGGCTTGGGCTGGGAGGCATAACCGGGCTTCGGGCGGGTTCTCTTGGAGGTGGGGTTTAGGGTTTAGGGTTTAAGGGTTTAGGGGTTTAGGGTTTAAGGGTTAAGGGTTTAGGGTTAAGGGTTTAGGGTTTAAGGGTTTAGGGTTTAGGGTTTAGGGGCTCAGGGGGTTAAGGGTTTTGTGGAGATCCTTACGCTCCCCCCCCCCCCCCCCCGGCCTGGCCCCCCCCCTGAAATACGCCCCTCGCAACCTTAAAACCAAGCCCTAAACCCTAAACCGGAAACCCTCCCCGGTAGCCACGCCCGAAAACTCCAGGAACAAGAGGCCTCCCAAAACCATCGTTTCGAATCAATTGAGTGGCTCTAAGGGGGCCCTGGAGTGTACATTGGCTCTGCGTGGGGGGGGGGGGGGCCCTTAGGATCCTTCAGAAATAGGGATTGGGGTTCATGGTTTAGGGTTTTAGGGTTTAGGGTTTAGGGTTTAAATGGTTTAGGGTTTAAATGGTTTAGGGTTTAAATGGTTTAGGGTTTAGGGTTTAGGGTTTAGGGTGAGGGTTTAGGGCTAGGGGCTTAGTGCCCATGACTCATCTCGAAACACTGAACCCTAAAGCCTGAACCTTCAACCCAAAAAACCCTAAACCCTAAACCCTAAACCCTAAACCCTAAACCCTAAACCCTAAACCCTAAACCCTAAATCCCAGCCATCGCCGCCTTGGCCGATGTAGGTAAAAGGGGACCTCAAGCACTGGAGTGCAAATTAAAAGATCGCTTCGACGATGGGACTTCGCTGGATAAGATGACTGAAAGCACTCAGGGTTTAGGGTTTAGGGTTTAGGGTTTAGGGTTTAGGGTTTAGGGTTACGCTGGGCTGTTGCCACTGGACAACATCTTCCACTTGACAGCCTTGCGCTATGAGGGCAGTCGGATCTGTCTGAACAATCGTCGTTTGCATGCACCTAAGCAGTACCAGTCTTGTCCGTGCCACAGCACCGAGACCGGCGAGCGCAGGCTTTGCCACTGGTTCCATTGGGGTTGCCCTTTGCGCGGCTTGCGAGCTCCGGAGCTGGCGGCGGATTCTTTCGAGCCTTTCTTGCTTGAGCTCTCTGCCTTGTCAGCGGCTGCGGTCACAGGGTTGAGGGTTGAGGGTTTAGGGTGCGGTTGGGGGTTGTTAGATGCTTTGAAACTGACATTGTTGCCATATCCAGGGCCTTCTAGTGAGCCCCAACCTTTTAGGGCTAGGCAACTCAAATCAGGGCATTGTCTTGCTGGCTTTGCTTCTTTGACTCTTACAGCGTACCTTCGGGGGGTATATCTATACATATGGGGGTATATAGGGGGTTCCCTCACAACTGAGCTTGGAGATATGGCCCACCCTAACCTTGTAAGGGAATTGCCTGGATTTAGGGTTGAGTGGGGAAATTCTTGAGGGTTGAGGGTTTAGGGCCTATGAGTGTTGCGTAGGAGAGGAGGGAGGAGGCAAGGGACTCATCGATCCGAGTCCATCCTTAAATAGAGAATCCGAAGCCCTAAGCTCCAAACCCTAAATGATGTTTAGCCATGCCGAGCCGATGAAAGCAAGCTCTATCTAAACCCTGAACCCTAAACCCTAAACCTTAAATCCTAAAACCCTAAAACCCGAAACCCTAAACCCTAAACCCCTAAACCCCCAACCCGAAGCCATTGAAGATTGCATAAGGAGATCGCCGCTGGCAAGAAGTCCATCGACGAGCTGCACGAGAAGGTGCTCTTGTTGAGCATGAAAAATTGACCCACCCTCAAGCAAATCAATATAGGGGTCTCAATAGTTAAAGCAGTTTTTTTTTTTGGGGGGGGGTTATTATAGTATACAAAGGGACCATGAGGGAATACTATTAGTAATTATTCAACCTCTATAGTACATGGTAAGGCTTGTTGGGCTCCAAAAAGCAAAAGTTAGCGAGAGGCCTTGCTGCACCCTAAACCCCAAACCGGGCCTAAACCCGAAATACCTAAACCCAGACCCTACAGGCCTGTTTGGGGTTTTGTTTCTGTTTAGGGTTTTGGGGTTTAGGGTTTAGGGTTAGGCTCACGAGTGCTCAAGTTTTCGCGCCCCCCTTCCGCTTTGTAGCCCTCACAGACGCCATGGCAGACTCATCAAAGGTGCTGGAGACGATGGCCTCGCAGCTCTCCGCAGTGGCTGCTGGCCTAGAGGCATTACGAGTGCAAGGGGCGGCTCAGACGGCCGCAAACGCCGAGACGGCCGACAAGCTCGAGGAGATGCAGCGGCGCATCTCACAGCATGATGCCCTGCTCACAGGTGATGGCCCTTCGGTGCTCTCCACAGCAGCGCCAGTGGCTCGACCCCAGGATTGGGAGATCCGAATCCACGGAGATGCAGGCCCCACACAGTCGGTGACCAGAGAGGAGTGCGCGGCAATGATCACGGAGGCCCTGCAGACGAAGGTGGGCCCCGCTCTCCAGGCAGCATTCTCACAGGTCGGTGCCGAGCTTGTCCAACACGCCGAGAAGATTAACACCCTGGAACACGAGGTACGCATGCTAAAAATCAGAACGGCGTGGACGGAGAAGGACCTGCTGTACTCACAGATAGAGGATGCAAAGAGAACCCTTGTGCTGAGAAATTTCCCAGACTGGACCACAGCAGCAGACCGTGAGCTCACAGTGGCAGAAGCTCTAAAGGAGAACAATCTCGGTTACTTGGAGTGGGGCCTCACAACCACGACCTTGGAGGGCACGGATGGCAAGAAGTTTTTGGCTCCGATTTCCATCCTCACAGTCCCGACCTATGCCGCTAGAAAGAAGGTCATGGAGGTTTGCTCCCGCGCTGTGGTTCGCTACTGGCACGAGGTGAAGGACGAGGGTCGGACGAGGCGAAGACCGACTCGACTGCAGACGGCAAGAACACGCCTGGAGGTTTCAGCTCGGCCCCTAAGACCAAAGAGGCAGAAAACGAAACACAGACCTCACAGCCCTCACAGAAAGTCTGGGAGATCAAGACCTGGCACTGGAACCTTCCCATCAAGATGGCGCCAGGAATCACCCAATTCGAAAGGCGTCTCGGTGCTCCTTTGCACGGATTAATGAACTCCTATCAGCGCCTCTTCGCGCGCTTCAAGAAGGAGTCCTTGGTGCCAAGGTGGAAGACCTTGATTCTAGAGGACAAGGAGGGTGCTTGGCTAGGCCGTGTACTTTACAGTCGCAAGACCAGCAGCCTCACAGGAACCACGGGCACCGTGGCAGACTGGAAATGCGAGGTCCAGCTTCCGGCGGAGCACAAAGACAAAATCCTGGAGTGCTGGCGAGACATTTGGTACGATCAGCTAAAGCAGCAGATCTCACAGACGGATGTGGAACAAGAGGCATTTTCCTCGGCCTCACAGAAGACTAGCCAGGACTATGTGGCCGCAGCTCGCCTGAACCGCTTCCTCACCAAGGCCGTGCCAAGCTACAACGAGGGTGAGGAGCACGGGATCGAGAACTGGGTGGCCCGCTTCAAGTTCGAGTACCCCTGGGAGCTCTCCTTTGTAGGCATCTCACAGGAACACCCGGACCGGCAGTTCTTTCAGGAACTCCGCCCAGTGGACTAGCTGATGGAGGCCATGTCCGCCGACCAGGCCATGGAGACCGCAGTTGCCCCCGGCGAGACCCTCGCAACCTTTGCCTCGCAGGGCACCAAGAGGCAGCGCTCTTCCGGCACGGAGGGCAGCATGGAGGCCGACTCCACCAAGAGCCCCACTACCCCTTCAACTCACAGGAGGAGCTTGAACAGGAGGTGGAGAACGAGAAGATCAGCCACATCAACCGCGGCTACGACATCTCCGGCTACTCCTCTTCTCAGTGGGAGGATTGGGTCAAGGGCAAGAAGCTCAGGCAGATGGGTTCGGAGGCTGCCCAGGCAGTCCTCACAGGCCGCCCTCGTCCCAGGCTTTCGGCTTGAAGTTTCGGCAGGCGCGTAGGAGCCCCATCTTCCAGCACAGTGTGCTTTTTCAGTGCCTCTCTCACAGAGAGCAACGCTGCGACCGCACAGGTGGAAGAAAGGGGCGAATTAGCTTGAAGCATGTAAGCACACCCCCCAAAGGTGAGCTGGGCGCGCTGAGCTAATTCTCACAGTTCTGTTTTTAGTTCGGATTTTTCGGGATTGAGGAATGAGCATTTCGGCGACGAAGTGCAAGCCACCAACCACCCCACCCACGAACACACACTACCGCCACAGCTCCACCACAAGCCTCTCACTCGCTCACAGCACAAGCGCAGTCTCCGCAGCAGAGACGCAAGACAACGAAGAGCACAACTTCGCATCACCAACAGAGCCACACGCCGGCGCAACTACCGCAGCTGGCGCTCAGCACTCACACCTACCACCTCCACCGAGCCGTTTCAGGGTAGGGGCTCCCTGGACCGGCCCCACTCAAAGCCTTTATACGACCTCACCGGCCGCGCTCTCTCACACCGGCGGCTACAGCAGCAAGCAGCAGCGACACACCCAAACAGCACCATCCGCTGCAGCGACCACCAGAACCAGAACCCACAGATGCCACAGATTCCGAAGGTTCTTGCAGAACCTCTTCAAGCTCAAGCAAAAGACCCCACAGAACAACAGCACCCCCAACCATCTTCGTACAGATACCAGACCAGCTCCACAAAGCAGAAGGCAGTGGCAAGCCCGACACGACACCCGCCACCGAGAGCCCATTGGTTCAAAACCCACACTGTACAGCCCAGCAAGAAGGGCAGATACAAACACGACCTTCAAACCCCTCCACGGCACCACCTCCGCGGCGCTTTCTGGAACACCACAGGCCTGCTGGAAGCAGCCAAGCTACACACCTTGATACACATTATGCGTAAGCATCGCCTTAGCTGGCTGGCGCTCACAGAGACGCACATGAAGCAGCCTGATCAATTCATGATCGAAGGCTACACCATTACCCACAGCGCCACAGAAGAGTACGACAGCAAAGGCAAGCCCACACAGACTTTCACAGGAGTCTCCCTCATCACAGCCCCACACCTTACACCCACCATCACAGATCTCACCTGCGTCGACGGCAGATTTCTTCGGTTCACCGTCGACACCGTCGAAGCTCCGCTCAGCATCCTGGCGGTTTACGCCCCACACAACCAACGCGAACAGCAATGCCGGGACCAGTTCTGGCAAGCACTCACCACACAGCTCTCCACTCACAGAGAACGCACCCCCCTTCCAGTGGTTGGAGACTTCAACGCACTAGCCTTAGACGAGCTCGCAGCCATCCCTCACGCCACTGGCCCACACTTCGTCCCAGGCAAAACTGCCGAGGAAGACGAGCCAGACGATGCTGCGGAAGGCGACACCAACCAGCGACAGTTCCACGACCTCCTGGCCTCACAGGACTACTGCCTCCCACAGAGCTGGATGGAAAAAGCACCTCGCAATAGACACACCCACAAAAGACCCAACGGCGACCTCGTACAACTCGACCACGCCATTATACACAAAGACTGGCGCAACATCATCCACGACATCCACACTCTTCCCGGCGCAGCACTCAACAGCAACCACTACTTGGTCAAAGTCGACCTGCAGCTCCGCACCAAAGAGGCCAAACGCACACCCCCCAAACCACGCCACACCAGAACCCCCACTGCCGCACAGCGGCAAGCCTACAACAACCACATCAAGCAAAACTTGGATGCCATCACCCCTACCACAGACTACTCACAACCACCCCCACAGCTTCCTCTCCAATCACAACCACATGAGCAATGGCAGAGCCTCCAGGCGACGACCAAGGAAGCCATTAGCGACCACATCCCAACCACCGCGTCCTTCCCCAAACACCCCTGGATCTCACAAGCTACTTGGCAGCTCATACAGCAACGTTCCGCCGCGCGCCTCGCTCAGAGATTTGATCTTGAGGCCCAACTCCACAAAGACATTAGAAAGCAAGCCCGCAAAGATAAAACCCAGTGGCTAAAGGAGCGACTGGCCGAAAGCGAGGCCACTCTTGACCCTCGCCAAAAATGGAAGTGGATCAAGAGAGTTCGCTCAGACTACAAGCCCAGACCGGTCTCCATTAGAGACTCACAGGGCAAGCCCACCAGCCTCTCAGAGCAAGCCCAAACCTTCGCAGAATACCTGCGAGACTCACACTGGGCAGCTCCACCTACACCTTACACTGGCCCCACAGACCCAATACACCCGGCAGCAGCAGTGGACCTCTCACCCATCACCACTGCAGAGCTCAACGCAGCACTTAAAGAGCTGGCGCACAACAAAGCAGCAGGCCCCGACAGCATTCCTGCTGAAGCATGGCAGTGGTTAGACGACCATAACCAAGAGGCTCTCTTGCGGGTCTCCAAGCAGCCCTGGACGACAGACTCAGGGAAACCCAATACGGGTTTAGGGCGACGCGCTCAACATCCCAGCCTATTCACATCGTCCGCCGTCTCTTTGAACGTGCGGAGGCCACAGGACAAACGCTTTACACCATCTTTCTCGACTGGGAGAAAGCATTCGACAAGATACACCCGGACGCCCTCCTCACAGCGTTGTCTCGCTACGGCGTCCCACCACATCTCACAGCCCTCATCAACAACATCTACACCTCACCACAATTCACAGTGGCGGCGGCTGGGAAGCAAAGCACCAGGGAGGAAGCCAGCGCGGGCATTCGTCAAGGATGCCCGCTCTCACCATACCTGTTTCTCATAGTTCACGGTATGGTTATGCACGATGTGGACCGGGAACTCACAGCTCACGGCGGGTCTCTTCCTTGGCTGTACAGCCAAAACCAGCCCTTCTACGACCTCGCTTATGCGGACGACACAGCACTCATCGCAAGCACGGCTCACAGAGCAGAACAGCTGCTCCACATCCTGCAGCGGATTGCGGCTCACAGCAACCTCCACCTGAACCTCAAGAAGTGCGTGTTACTACGCTCCCCCACTTCACAGAACACAGTCCACTTTCACAACGGCGCCCCCCTCACTATTGAGCAGCACGCCAATACCTTGGCGTCACAATTAGCAGCGACGGGTCTTCTCACAAAGACGTTCTCACACGTGTCGCCAAAGCCCGCAAGCACTTTAACTCTCTGCACCAGTTCTGGCGCAACACCGACCTCACACTGAAGTGGAAGTTACGCATTTACAATGCGGTCTTCATTCCGCTCGTAACATACGGGTTGGAATCAGCAGCGCTCACAAAAGGCGATCTCAACAGACTCGAAGCTTTCCACTCACAGAGTCTTCGAAAGATCCTCCACTTCAAAAGCACTTACTACACGGAGGTGCTCAACCCCACAGCCCGCACATACACCAACCAAGAGGTGAGAACACTCACCTCACAGCCTCCACTCACTCACCACATCCACAAAGCACAGCTGAAACTTTTCGGGCACATTCTTCGATCCCATCCGAACAGTATAGAACGGAACTGCTGCTTCACTAGCGCTTTTCAGTACAGAGGTGGTCTGGTTGGTGCTGGCCTAAGGCCAGGCAAGAGGAGAGTTCAATGGACAGAACAGTGCACTACAATTCTTTGGCACTGGCTTTTAAAGTCCTCCAGACCCCCTGCCACTCGCAGCCCTACCTTCCCATACTCTTATCTACAAGCTCACAGAGCTGCTGTAGACCGCCACTTTTGGAGTACCCTAGTGAGGTTGCCAACGTGCAAGACACTCCTGGAAGCACACTCCTACACAGTCGTTGCTGCTGAGCGAGTTGCATAGGGCCGCCCAAAAAAGGGTTTAGGGTTTAGGGTTTAGGGTTTTGGGCTTTCCGCTTAAGGGTTGAGAAGATTTCGAGTTGAGGGCTCGGGTATGCTGTAGTGTAGGGACCCCTGTTAGCGGTCCATCGAGTTCTGGGCCAAGCAGCTGGGCACTCACATAGGTGATGTCTCGGGCTTTGAAGAGCAAGGTCTCAGCCGTTTAGGGTTTAGGGTCCAGGGTTTCGGGTTTCGGGTTTAGGGTGTACGGTCTAGGTTTTAGGGTGGCTCCGCCCCACAACTCGTGCAAATCCCACAAGCCATGCTGGATCAGGGCGTTTATGCTGGTAGGGCTTTAGGGTGACCGTTAGCACTCTTCCTTACAGGAAACCCT